ACTGATGGTAAAACAAAGTAGAATGATTGCATGTTCATAGCGTACCGATGTTCTAAGGTAAGTGTCGAGTTCCTCGGTCATGGGTACTGGAAACGTCTTGACATCATTGAAGACCGGCTCGTTGGAGTTGTGGAYTATGTTGGTATCGTGGTCAGCAAAATCGTAAAATTTATATACACAATAAGGACTTGGCTGAATKCCTTTGGACAAAAACAGASAAMATCATAACAACAAGAACTCATCGCTTTGAAGTACAATGTTTGTCATCAAATCTGTTATTCACACTCTCTTAATTCATAACAAATAACTGTTAATTGCTCACTTAGATTTTCCACACAAAGGAAATCGTCGAGAGAATTTTAGCAACTGAGGAAGTTAATAAACGAATCCGTTATTGAAGCTAAAATATCTCGATTTAAATAGTGCGTTAAAGGACACTTGTAAAACAAAATAACGACTTTTTCCTAAGTCTYTCAAGGTCTCAGCGAAAAAAATTCTACAAAAAAATTGTTTTCTCATAATTAAAGGACGATTGTAAATTAGTCAAACCTTCTCTTCTTGGTTTCAAGGAGGAACATCTGATCACGTGAATATCAAGCTCGTTGACGTCAGAGGGGGCTTTTTGTGGGTGGCCTGCATCCTCTAGGGCTGAATAAGATGTAGCGTTCATGTACCCAAGGGCTTTGGTGCGTTCCTGAYAACGAATCGGTAAATGGCAAAGTATACAACTTTTTCAGTAAATTCATGGTTTACACCATTATTAGTACACCATTATTAGTCAGTATAGAAAGAACTCATAGCGGAAACGTTTGGACACATTGACAACAATAMTTTTGTCTAAATTAATTCAAAGCTTTACTTTAAAATGCACTTTGTTTTGTTCAAGCCGTCAGTAACCCAACAAACGACAAGATGGTTCTTACCCTAAAAAGTCTTATTGCTTGGTCCATCGGTACTCGTAGTCTAACCCAGTACTCTAACACACCAACGTCTTGACCTTCACAGGGCGCCASAGTACCTGAMAATACAAAACAAGTCAATATTCATATTGRWCGTCCTGACGAACTGTAGACGAAGCAAGACAGCTATCCATTCATATAGACCAACTGCAGTTTATCAAGTATATCATCTGGG